GAATAGTTGTATAAACATTTGTTTAACAACAAGTAAAAGCTTGGAATGGTCTATTCTTTCATTGGGGGGGGGGGTCTATAGAATGATAGTTTGTTTTTTTGTGAGTGTAAAACACTTAAATACACCAGTTTGATTTTCAATACCTCACTACTTATTATAAAGGCTTGGTTTGGTCCGATATTTCATTTCTGGTATTGTCCAGGGTCACTGATGAGGAGCGGAATTCTCCGAAACTAGTCTGGCTAACAGACACACCCCCAATGAAAGAATAGACCATTCCAAGCCTTTACTTGTTGTTAAACAAATGTTTAAACAACTCTATTCAACGAAATTGATTTGTTTATACAAACACAAAACATTACCAATAACTGAATTTCTTTAATAAAAAATCAAACTTGTTAGTATTTATACTATCATACATCAAGTTATTAATTAATTGACTTTCTGTGTGTTACTCTGTTATTTATAACTTCTTATAGTAGGTTTTAGGTTATACAGTTCCTATTAAGCTACTAATATTGTCAAACTTAACGTTTGGGTATTCATTACAAACCCTATTAGTAGCTTAATAGGAACTGTATAACCTAAAACCTACTATAAGAAGTTATAAATAATGATTATTATAAAAACATTTATCCTTCTACTACATCATTAACACATAACACAAAGGAAATTAACTACTGTCAAACTTAACGTTTGGGTATTCATTACAAAACTAGTTAATTTCCTTTGTGTTATGTGTTAATGATGTAGTAGAAGGATAAATGTTTTTATAATAATCATTATTCTGCATCGTTTATTACTCAGTTTGTTAAAAGTATAAAGAAAATCTTAACTTTTATAGTTCAACCGATTTTAAATTTTGGAGGAAAAATAATGAAAATCAAATAGGTAAAGTTTGACCTGTCTATCTGAAATTATAAAACAAACAGTATGACTTACCTATATCTTCTAGACAACAAATGTAAAATAAAGAACATAGGTATAAGAATACATTTCTGATTTGTCAGAGAAAAAATAAGTTGTCAGGTAGGGGGGTATGTTTAATGGGATTCCAACCAAAATAAAATTTGTAACAAAATTTTTATGAAAAGTGCATTTTAATTCCCACAGAAATAAGTAACTCAACTGAAAAATGTCACCTTTCTTTTGCTAACTTTTCTGTGAATTGCAGGGAAAGTACTCTGGTGTAAAGTAGTTTTATACAATCTTTGACCTCTCCATTTTTCCCTGATCTTCTTGTCTCTCCACTAAACTGATTTGACAGTTTGGTGGTGTAGGTTGTCTACTTTATATTCTGCATCTTATTGCCAGCAGTTTAAGATGTAGTGTTTTTGTGTAAATATCTTTACAATCCAGTTCTACATTGATCCTAACATGTCTTCTTTGATCATTGAGTTTTAATAAAAAAAAAACCTTAATTTTTATAATTTGTACTCCTAATAATGACACCAGTGAAGGAGTAAATTCTTCCTCTTTGTTTCTTAGGTCCATAATGTAGTTGGCTGTATAGTGAGTCATAATAATGGTGTTTTGTTGAACTCTGAAATACTTTCTGTAGAGTCGTCACAGCAGGAAATAAAGTTAATTTGTATGTTTGTTTGTTTTTCTGACATATTCTCATCATCCTCTAGTGAAGTGGCTGAAAATGAAGCAGTCCACTTGATCAAAGAATCTGATGACGATAAAGATGGAAAACTATCTATTCAAGAAATATTGGATCATCATGACACCTTTGTTGGCAGTGAAGCCACAGACTTTGGAGAACATCTGTACAACACGCACAAGTTTAACGATGAACTCTGACGTCTCCACGATATGCTTGTTCAGAACTACTTTGTGTTAAAAGCACAAACTGTCTATATTTAAACATCTGATATAATATCTTCTACCATGTATATTACTATGTAGCCTACTTATAAACTAGATTAGTATTTACATTTACTTTGATTTTTCAGATGTTTTAGTATTTATCTTTTTATACCTCGTAAGCTAGACTTATAATCTAGCCAGTGTAATTAGAGCATGTTCTCAAAAGTAAGATTTAGTGGTTTTTTACCACATTTTAAAAACTGAAAAGACAACAAACCTTTTGCTTCCCTCCCCTTTTTAAACATCTTGATAATTGCTTTGAAATTCTGAGAATTTCCAAATAAAACCAACATTTCTACTTCATAATCACATCAAACAGTATTTGATGTATTAAAAATGACTAACAATTTCATACTCATACCATTTCTGAGCACATTATATTCCACAGAACAACCACTCGTCAGGTTTTGCGCCTGATATATAAGTGGAATTTCAAGTTAAAATTATGCACATGTGACGTGAAGTAAAAGATTCTCAAGTATGTACATGGTAGAGCCGTTCGAGGCCTTACTAATTCAGAGAAGAAAAAACTATGTAATAGGAAGTGTGTACAGCTAAGTTCTTAAATTAATTATCCATATAAGCAAACAGTACTTGTAAAACCACTCCCTCAACTAGTCTTGATTATACATTTGTTTATCAAATCATAAGCACGTTAATTTTTGCACAATTTGACAAGACTGTCTATCAAATTGTAGGCGTGTTTATTTCTTTTTTTTTATTTTTACAGATTGCCAAGCTTCCTTCAACAATTTTTCACACACAAATACTTTAATAATTTGAACTTGCACCTTTTTAGCAAGAAATAATTCAAAGTTTGCTTTACAAGGTAAACATTTTCAGCTTTGTCCTACAGGATGTTCCCTGTTGTACTGTTAACACATTCTGAAGTTCAGTTCCTAACATGTTATTGTTGTTACATCTACAAGCTTATTTTTACCAACAGAAAAGAAGCAATTCAATACTAATTGAACTGTGCTGACAACAGTTCATTTCTAGTTGTGTATGAGAAAAAGTATTTTTTGTATTTATGACCTTCTCATAAAGTATTTTATCCATTGCACACTAACCACTGTTCACATTAAAGATATTTTAGAACAAATGTGTGTTAGAAGCATGTTTTTTTAATACATTTAAGCTTTTCTTTGCCCTTTGAATGAGTAGTCTATGAAGGTTATAATTCTTAAATAAATAAATCAACAGGGGGAGATCTTGATAATCTCCCTCCGAGACATCACGACCACTGTGTTGGGGTCCGAGTCTTGGGAAGTAAAAGATTCTACGTGACCAGCATGTTTTATTGTAAAAGTTTAGTTTACGTACTTGCTTTCCAAACCACTTATTTTTTCATGTTATGTGCCAAACCTAATAAAGATGATATTTAAACCTGTGACGTTACTATGTTTCTATTGCCTTATGTGAGTAATTGTACAGTTCTTACAGTAAATTAGCCTAATTCAAAGTTCAACCCAAAACTTGGATACTTATAAGATTAGCTCAAGCATGGACTTCTCAAGGTCATCAAGAAATGAATTTCTTCACAACAACACTAGTGCTTTGTAAAATATGTGACTTATTTCAAAACTGTATATGTATATCACTTGTATCCAATTCTCTCTAGTCTTACTTCTTGTGCTATGAAATTCTTCACTGCCAACCATTATTACTCTATTTTAATCACAGTTAAGAGGTAATTTAAAATAGTTTTAAACATATCTCTCCCTTTGTGTTTGATAATTATTTTTCTATAAATACATGTTGTTGTTTTTTATACTATAACATTGGTTTTTCCTCCAAGTCTTCAATGTCTCTGCTTACAATGGCTACTTCATAAAAAATATTTAATTAAACCCACGAAAAAATTGATTTAAAACTTTTCACACGACAATATTACAATAGAAAGAGAATGAGTTTGTTCAACTTATACTTAACTTTAGTAGTTTTATTAAACTAATTTTAACACACTAATGACTATACACAAGTTACACATCTACTTCTATTCAACAACCATTGAGGAAAATTATAACACATTTCAGTATACAATATTAAAAAAAATCATTATTTTGACTTGATTGGAGTAGATAAGAATGCCTGTTATGATATTCTCTTAATTTGTGCTATACATATATATTAAGCAGTTTGAAGTGACGCTTTAAACATTAATATAAACAAGTGACTTGAAGTTTAATTTACAACTGTAGGTTTCCTTTATCACTCAAGCTCTTGTGTGTCTTCCCCAATTTTTAAAGTGTACTTGAAGTGGTTTCAGACAGAGTTCTGTAACTGCTACCCTCTCATTTGTTTTAAGACAAGCTGAAAAAAACAAAACAAAAAGGTCACATACACGTATTTTGAGTACTTTATGCACAAAAATTTCTCTTACATATAATAAAATTATTACACGATTAAAAGCAATAACAGTTTGCACTAAAATATACATACAATTTAAGGATGACCCATTTGTCCACTTAGGCCATCCATTAAACTAAATCTTAAAATAAAAATATACATTCAAAGTTAGCCCTTATCGTTCAAATAATTATAAAGCCTTCCCTTAAATTAACTGCATCTACCACATCTGAAAGCAACCAACTCTAGAAGCCGACCAGCCTGTTAGAAGAATAAGCTGAAGATGACTCTTACTTTACTATAGTTTATATTTGTGTCCTCTAATCTTACCATTCTCTCATTACATCAACACTATCAAGTCCATTAATTAATACATTAAACATCTCAAGCAGGTTTCCTCTTATTTTATCAAAAGAAAACAGTTTCAGAGATCTTAACCTATTCTGATACGACAACCCGGGGTCATCCTAGTAACCCTCCTCTGAACCCTTGTCAATAATTCAGTGTCTTTCCTAAGGTAAGGAGCCCAAGACTGAACATATTTTTTCCCAATTTGGCCTAACCAATGATCTATAGAATGAAATTATAATATCTTTAGATTTGTATTCAATATTTCTGTAGATACAACCTAAAATCCTATTTGCCCTGCCACTAGCAACAGTACATTGCTTGAATGGCCTTAATGATCGAACACTAAGATTGTTTTCTTCCACAACACTGTTAAAGTTTATTCTCATCAAAATTGCACACATAATTCAAATTATATACCACATGCTTTATCTTGCATATATGATTACGAGACCCAAAACTCAAGCGTGTGTATTTGTATTACCGAATAAGTATGTAGCTAATTCAGAAAAGGTTATTTTTTCACTTAGCTTTCCATGTCTAGCATATTTAAGTTATTTTTCTTCAGTGAAATTGTCAATTCTTTCTCAACATTTATATTTTTGCACTAATTTTAAAATTCCTGTAAAAAAAAAGGATTTTTACTTCAGTAATTTTACAAGAGTTTGTGTGAATAATCTTTGTCAATTTTTGGTATTTGTATATGTTTATAAAAAATTATCTTTTGAACCAAAATAACACAAAATTAAATGACAACTTTGTTATATTTAAATTTTTACGTGAAATTGGCAAAAAGGAAACTTGTTTAATGACAGTTTTATGGGTTAAGGTATATTGAAAACAGTACAAAAAAATACATAATCTGACAGTTTTGAAGTTACAGTTTGCACACATTAAACATCAGGTTAATCTAACCTTGGAAGACAGTTTTTAAATATTCAAAGTCAGTAGATATATAGAGTAACACGGTTCAACAACTAATCCATAACAGTGACACTATAATCAATAAACAAGATAATTAAAAAACTTGGACTATCCACTGTGCTATACAAGTTTTCATCAAACTAAATCTCATTATCACACTAGGCTAGGCCAAGATATTTTGGTCAAGTTTTCTGAAAGACCATGTCTAATATGAAAGTTAATTGGAATGCCTAGTGAGGGGAAAAGACATCATTTGGTACCATACACAATTTGTGACTGTCGTTTCTTTAACAAGATGGTTTGATACAACTTTTGTATTGTGTAACAGTTTAAAAATAAACTGAAACTGATGAAGACATCAAGTTAATGTTGAAATGTCATCCTCTTTAATTTGCTATGAAACCGTACAGCTAGGATATTTATTCATTATCTAGGAGCATCAATTAGTGTTATGTAAAATAATCACTTCAACGAAATTATGATTGACTAATGTTATGAAAATAATAAACTAACTGAAATTAGCATTTCTAATTATTACTATCTTTAATTATTCTATCTCTCAAAGTCTTGTGTGAGAATAATCAATTTAATGAAATCACTTAATGAGTCCATCAGTTAACAAATTCCAATAATTACCCAGCTGTAGATCACAACATCTTATGAAATTGACATTTGATATGATAAATATATTTTAACAGCCATTCTCCAATATTTTAATTTGGTTTGGAACTGCTGTTAAACATGAACATTTTCAATTAATTTAAGTTGTTACAGAATGTAGCTAACAGGTCAATGTCTCAATAGTTACACCAATATTTTTCAAACAGCCAGAAATGTAAAATATTTCTTGCAAAAAATATACAAAAGAAAACAAAACTCAAAGTGATCATAAACGTTATAACTCATTACTTAACTTATTCATTGTATTACGTCTGTAAAGTGAATGAATTAAGAAAATTCAAGCTTACCGTAATAGCATTGTATTTTTACAAAAAAAAAGAATTCAGGGCTGTAATGTATACTGTAAGTACATTAGACAGCACCTAAATGTTGTAGTGTTTAATCACAGAAAATAAATAATAAATTAAGAGTTAAAGTTAACTCAAAATACCTACCTTTTTACACCACTTAAACTTCACAGTACAGTGTGTCACTTATATGTACCCTATCTCACCAACTACAGTAAACTTGCACCATATGGTGCCACTCATATACACTATATCACCACCACCTAGACTAAACATCAATCATTTGACCCTATCTCACCAACTACAGTAAACTTGCACCATATGGTGCCACTCATATACACTATATCACCATCACCTAGACTAAACATCAATCATTTGACCCTATCTCACCAACTACAGTAAACTTGCACCATATGGTGCCACTCATATACACTATATCACCACCACCTAGACTAAACATCAATCATTTGATGCCATTTACATAAATTCCTGTAATAAAAATAGCTTGTACTTCAATTTTCTAAACATGTCTGAATCCCATAAAATTCTCTGATAAAAATAGTTTATTTCAAGATTCTAAACAACATAATTAAATCCCATAAAGTTTTCTAATAAAAATAGTTTATTTCAAGATTCTAAACAACATAATTAAATCCCATAAAATTCTCTGATAAAAATAGTTTATTTCAAGATTCTAAACAACATAATTAAATCCCATAAAGTTTTCTAATAAAAATAGTTTTTTCAAGATTCTAAACAACATAATTAAATCCCGTAAAGTTTTCTAATAAAAGTAGTTTCTTTTATCGTATTCTAATCATGTCTGGATCATCCTAACGTACATATACAACTTAGCTATGTTAAACATCTGATGCAAACAGCAAAAATATTATTCAGACCTGACATCATTACCCTTGCAGCAAATGACAGCCGAGAAAAGGCCTACTAACTCTGATAAATATCATGTTCAGAATATCTGTTTTTCATTTTGGTTTCCATTTAATATTGCAATCTAGTGTAAGTAAATCTCAAATATTAATAGACAGCAAATACTGACTTCTTGGCTACTCAAATAAAACTCCCCTTAATTACTTTCTTAAAGTCCTCTCCAGTAAAAGTTTATCATAACTCCCCTTAATTACTTTCTTAAAGTCCTCTCCAGCAAACGTTTATCATAACTCCCCTTAATTACATTTCTTAACGTCCTTTCCAGTATAAGTTTATCATAACTCCCCTTAATTAAATTTTTTAAAGACCTCTCCAGTAAAAGTTTATCATAACTCCCCTTAATTACTTTCTTAAAGTCCTTTCCAGTAAAGGTTTATCATAACTCTCCTTAATTACATTTTTTAAAGTCCTCTCCAGCAAAAGTTTATCATAACTCCCCTTAATTACATTTTTTAAAGTCCTCTCCAGTAAAAGTTTATCATAACTCCCCTTAATTACATTTTTTAAAGTCCTCTCCAGTAAAAGTTTATCATAAATCCTCCAAACCTAAAATCAATGTGGTAGCTCTTCTATGAACCTTCTTCATAAAATCCTTCCTTTAACACAATTTTCCAAAAGAACTGAACACATGCATTATGTGTTCTGTATAACATTTGATTTGCTACCAAAAATTTGAACCTTCCTAGAGTATTCCATCAGATATTAGAGCTGGTTGACTTATTTTTTTACCTATTAACATCGATTATATCAGTTGTGTAAAATGATAATGTCACAAAAATAACCAACTAATTAAAATTAGTGTTTCTGAATATTCCAACTACCCAAATAATCAAAATACTTTATTATTATTTCAATTAATTCAAGGTAGTTTATGACGCACAAAAACAATCAACTAACTGAAATTAGTGTTTCCAATTATCAATATTTCTGATTATTCCAGCCATCCAAATATCGTGTAAGAAGAATTGATTAGTTAAATGTAATCAATGAGCACAACAATGAATCAATTGCCAAGCTCTGTTAGGAATAGCTAAAAAGGAAATGAAAACAATCACTTAATTTGTCAATAAAAGTTCGGTAGTGTTTTACGGTTTCATCTTGGTTTCTTTTGAAGAGTCTCCTTCACTCGTACAGTAGTATAGTTTGTTTTCAGCTTTACTGATTACATTGAATATATTAGGGGATGGGACCACTTAGTGGATGTTGAACAATGCTTCAGCTGTCCTCAAACCTATGCTAGTGATCTTTTAAACAATCTCCCAGTCTTCTGACAGTTGAGTCAAAGTCAGATAGTAGAATTCATAAATGACATGACTGTTGAGAGAACTGGATTCAATCTTTAAATTTCCATATATTTTGAATTCTCAATAGAAGTCTAAAAACACATTGAAGGTAAACTTGCGGACAGACTCTTCAAGATTTGTAAGTGTAAGTTTGTGTATGTTAGCATGATTATTACTCATAGCTTTGGGACATCATAGTTCACAGATAGAGATAGTTGTTGAAAGGTTTTATTGTCTGTAAAGTTGTTTGCGAATGATTCAAGTTTTTAATGAGATGATCATACGGGTGAATGAGACTCTTCTGATTCTTCAAAAGAAGCTGAGATTATACAGGTAATTAAATTTTATTTAAACTTTCATAGTCTACTGTGTAAATTAAAAACAAATCATTCATTAATAAATTGTAAGTACAGGAAAGAAAATTTAACATGGGAACAAGAGTGACCATTATATTAACTACCACGTGCCAGTGAGATATTTAGAACCACTGATATCCAGCAGATAAGTTTAAAGCATCTGCAAAATATAGATTTCTGTAATGTTATGTAAGAGAATAAATCAAATGTGAACAGTAAAGGAAAAACAAACACATAAACAACTTGTATTTACACTAAGGTTTATGAAGTTACCAAACTGTCTTCTGGGGTTGTCAAATATTTTCTAAGACATATGCAGGATAAGAACAAACAGTACTCTGATTTATCATGGCAAAACATTAAAGAGCAGTATATCAGAATCCAAGGCTACCTCTCGTTTCTTTATGTTGTGTTCTGAGAACATAAGGACACAAGTTTAAGATTTGTAAGATACAAGCTGGGCTCCAATCATGACAGCTTTATTTTTCTAACGGGGTAACTGGCTTGTAGAAAGTCTTGCAATTGGGAGTAACAGAAGCCAGTACTTCATATAAGAGTTTAAGAATTAAATCATTTATTTCTTCAAATATAAGGAGTTGAAATTTTTGCTTTCCCAAAGGTGGGTGTGCAAGGACAGCCTTGGAGAACTAAATGGTTCCTCACTATCCATGTGTTGAATTTATCTGCAAAAAATCTTTAAAATATTCATTTCTCAAACTTAGCATTACACTGCTACATATAAAACTTAAGAATTAAAAGATATGAAAAAGGCTTTCATACAGATATCCCTCTATATTAGTATGTATAAAATAGATTCAACATGCAATGCTATGTACTCAAAGCTCATACCCAGAGCTTTCCAAATTGTGGGTGCCAGATTGCCATGGCACCTAGAAAATGACTTGGTTAATATGAAGTTTTGATGTGTTTTTTTTTTATAAACAATAATATTGATGATGTAATTCAACATCGCAGACGAGATTGGTATAGCATCCGAATTTTCAATAAACAACGAAATACCGTAAAGGAAATTGAAAAAATTATGCAAAGGCAGTTAGATTTCTAATGTCTGATCACTAGCCAACAGACATGCACACTGACAAGCAGTCTCTTGGTTGCCAATATAACTGACACTGAAAATTTCCATGGGTTTTATATAACTCTGTATCATATAGAAAGGAGCTAAATGATTGGTTCATGTATGTGTGGGTTTTGTTTACGTCCAAGATGCATAACTTACAAAAATTGTTTGTTTGTTTGTTTTGAATTTTCGCGCAAAGCTACACGAGGGCTATCTGCGCTAGCCGTCCCTAATTTAGCAGTGTAAGGCAAGAGGGAAG